GCCTCAGGCATCCGGAGACTTGGACTCAGTAGCCATTGGTTGGAACTCGGAAGGGTTTGTCTCATTGAGCAGCTGGTCGGTGGTGACGTCGCTTCTTCATACGATGTTGGTCTGGCACAGTACCGGGCTTGGTTGCCGTCATGAGACTTCCCGCTGTCAGTGGTGTCGTGGGATTGGGATAGAGTTTTGTGTTACAGGGGGAAGTATTTACGGACGTGGAGCTCGTAGGATCGAAGCTCCCCTATAAACACTAGTATATTTGGGAGACTTAAGAGACTCATAATAGGATCGCTTGGCCAATTGGTAAAGTACATCTCGGTCAGAAGAAACTGTGTGAGAATAGCACCGCTACACATGTGCACAATTCATGGTCTAGACTCGTATTAAAAATAGAGGACAAAACCGACCCAGCGGTCAATCCGATGTGTTCGGTCATAGAACGAAGAAAATGGGGTATCCCGTCAGATCTGCCTGACCCAAGCTTCGTTTCGCTTGATTAGTACCACAGTGGGAGACTATGTGGGAACCTTGGGTACCGAACTCGAGGATACTTTTGTTTTCTTTTTAAATCTTTGAATCCTCTTTTATCGTACTTAAAAACTTTAAATTAGCTTCTGGTTTCGAACTTTTCTTTATTATTTCAAATCAGAAATTTTCTTCAGACGTACGCACTATCATCGCGGGTTTGGTAACTCACTCTGAGGATGAGCCTATTAATAAGTCCTTGGGCCTAAATGAGACTAGTGTTTGCTAATATTTACAGATACGCTAGTCCCAATGTAACGTTGCAGCACTATGATTAAGATTAATGTTTGTGCGATTTCCACCCAGTAAGTACTACGTATTTAAGCCTGAAACACAATGCCAAACATATAAACCCCTGATGAAGATTTGGAATAACACGTAGTAATCTAACAAGCACAATGATATAGATATACCGAGTAGGCAATGTACGATATAAAGCTTTCTAGAGTTTCTTACTTTGATATAATATGTAACAGTGCGCCGGTATCATAAACCATTATAGGAAACTTTTATTACGCCATGACCAGTTTCTTTTCGAACCACTGCCGATTCGAAAAACCATTGGTAGTAACAGAGCGGTGACAAGAAGTCAGTGGGATCTTACGCGTACGGTAAACTCTAGAGACCCAGTTAACCGATTTGACTCCGGCCGGCCAAAGGCCTGTACTAATCCGATGTTAACGTTTATATGAAATATATACTTTCAAATTTACTAGCCCAAGACAATCGTTGTCTATATAGAAAAAGAAGACTAACAAAATATAAACAACGGTAAAAGACTATAATGCCACGGACCTTTGTGAAATAAAAGGAATAAAAAAAGTTCAGCTTTTAGGTGTTCTTTCTCTAATTTTCTGCTATTTTTCACTCTACTTTCAGGGGCTGTACTCAAGGAGGAAGGTTGGCTGCTGCTGGCCATATAAAACACCTAATGCAACCCCTAAAATATCAGTTAAAAATGATAGAGTTTTCCAAATGACCTTGACAGATGTAAATCATTAAATTCACAGCTATTTTTATTGTTATTTCTTATTTATAGTGAAGTTGTGAGATCTTGGATGCACGCGCTGGTTGCCAATAACCCTGGTTAACACTAGCAGTGATGTTACATGGTTCACCGTAGACTCTACGGTGTTATTTTCACCGCTGACACTGTATGGAACACCGTAGACTCTACGGTGCTCTTTCCATTGATTATGTTACATGGTTCACCGTAGTGGCTACGGTCTTCTTGTGATTGTTTACGCTGTCTAGAACACCGTAGTCACTACGGTCTACGTTTTATTGCTTGCATTCTATGGAACACCGTAGTGACTACGGTGTTGAATTAGTTAGTTAGGCCTAGTTAGGCCTAGTTAGGGCTAAATCTTTGCTGCATGTGCTGATTACCATACATAGCACTCTAGATATATATATAACAAAAAGCCGTAGCATTATAGTCCTTTACCGTATAAACAATTACCGCAGAATCTCAGGAATAACGAATCGGAATGGGCTGGAATATCACTTACCCGTTGGTCAAGACGACCAAGAGTTACACTTTGGGTCTGTCGGATCTCAACACTCATTTGACCAATCTAAAGCCCAGTATTCCCAGTCCAGTTCGATTCGTTATTCCTGAGATTTTGCGGTATCTACCCTAAAAGAAACCCTAACCCATCGTAGTTCACTCCAACCGTAGCTTCGTTGTCCCCGTCTCAAAAAATTGAAACGGGGGACCGGTCAAAGAAGCATGGTTCACAACTCGAAAAAAAAATCGAGCTGGGAGTGCAGGGGGCTCGGAGGAGGGATTGGTACTAGTGCTGAGGAGTGGCCCAGACTGGCGACCACTGCAGCCCGAAAGCAGCCCTATGGAGATTAAAAGAGATGGGGAAGTAACTGAGAAATTATAGCCAACAGGGACTCCCAAGACTACTCTGGCCGCTATCTAGATAAGTCGATAAGCCAGATAAACGCCAAGCTAGGTTAGAAGGTTGCAGATGTGGACATCGAGATAGTGAATATGTGGCCGACGAGTCCAATATAGCCGAGCTTTACTATTGGCTCGGGTCACTCGAGATCGTCCATTAAGGAGGTCTCCTATGGTCGTGAGGGAGCTCGGGCTTTCCAATAAATTACAAACTCATTTAATGATCCAATAAGCTAAAGTATTAGATGGAAAAAGATATGACGTTTCAATTCGCTACGCATTATAAGTGACCTTGATCTATCGATATTAATGTGCTCAAGTCGAGCTATAGAAATTACTCGACTCCTAATCCTACGCAGCTACTTACCTACTCGGCTCTGCTCGAGAATAAAGCAGCGCTAGCTCGAGCCATGAACTCGATCCTACTCAACTCGTAGACTAGACTACATGATGATCGAGAAAATGACTAGATTGAAAGGTTTCGACGGCGGTGCCCTCAGTACTAGGGTATTATACCTCATAAACAGTGGCGTTCTCCACGAAACTGTTCAAGACTAGGTTGAGAAACCGAGTGAGTAGCCATGAGCCAAGCCTAACTGAAAGCTTTGCCCAACGACCAATGGCTTAATCAGTACCAAGTACGTACTTGAACTACTTGTATACATATATGGTTTAATTGGGCAATAGAACCGCTAATAGATGCATGTTTTATGGTTGAAAACAAGGTACGGTGTTGACTGGGTGCTGCCCCCATACAGTACGTGCTAAATTAGATTTTCTACCAACAATTTTGTCACTAACATTGCAATGATGGTACTTGTCAAGACGTAAGTTGACAAATTTCAGCGGATGGAGGCTCAAAGAGGTCTTTTCTCATGAGAACACTAATAAAGAGGTTACTTGAGGACGTACGTAATCGAACGACACTCATGCCCAAATCAGGAAAAAGAAAATAAAGCGGAGTTCAGTACCCAGTATTCCCACATGGTCTCCCAGAGCAGTACTACCTGGGCGATAGGAAGCTTGGGTCTCGCAGAGCTGACGGGATGCACCATTTTCTTCGTTCTATGACCGAACACGTCGATTGTATCTCTCTTCGTGAATTTATCCTCCAGAGATGCTCCGAGTATTCAAGACACCTGTCTTTAAGAAACCTTATTCTGACTAGGATTCATAGCATATTGAAGCTGGAGGTCTCACATCACACGGAGGTCTTCACAGAAAGTTATTCAGGCACGATCCAATCTTCTCTCGACGGAGACTTGGTGCCAAAAGTCCGACAGCAGATAATTCCTTTGGGAGTCTTGGTTTTCATAGGGTTCTACATACATAATATTCAGGACAGCAACCAGACCTGCTATAATCTCCTCGTAATGCGCGTCCCGAAACAGACGCAACATTCGAAATTACTCCTGATTGAAAATCCATAGGTCTCTGCTATACCAAGCAGGTGTTTATTTTCTCCGGTACCAATACTCGACTGCGACTATCATCTACGAGAAGAGTGGGAATTAAGTAGGCAGTTCTGCTAGGGCTAGTCTTGTCTCGTCTCGCTCGTTGCGAGAAATCGAGTGAGTAGTTGTGAGCCAAGCCCGAAGAAAAAGCTTCACGCAACCAAGTCTTTACCTACGAAAATACTGTCTAATTAGGCCATATATCTACTAATGAGTATATTATTTATAGTTAATAATTGGGTACTGCCTGGATGCTGCCTCCATGCTGAAAGCTCGGTGATTAATGTCACCAGAATTGATGACACTTCGATATCTTGGCAATGTTTAGGCTGGACTTGAGACCAATTAAGAAAATCGGCCTCCAGCTATTTGAGACGAACTCACGAAATATCTCGTCTCATGGAAAACACAAATTCGGAGACACAACAACATTACCTCAGACAGGCCCTATAATATCTTGTTCGTGATACGGTCGGTCTTACCCTTGGTTGGCCTTAGCCGCTTATGCTAGATAATTAAACGGCGTTGCTGTTTTTTGATTGGATGGTTTTATAACCAAGTGGTTACAAATCTTCAAACCGGTTTCAAAACCGAATGGATCAGGCATATCAAACCAGTTGGAATTCCACAACGTTATTTAGGGATTCGACACCTGGGCAAGAGCTGTGCACCAAATTTATTCCAACTTTTGGCAAATTCGAAACAGATGTATCCAAAAGCTGAAACCAAACCCATCAAAGCGGAAGAGAATAGAACTTATGGTTGAATGTTTCTAGAATTGTCATTTACACTTTAAACCAGCAAAAATTGACCAAACAAGGGTTTCGCTGCATTTTCAACCCTTGCGATTTCAAATTGTCATGTACCTGAATCCTTTGGGGTACAGACATAAACGGCGTGATGTATCCCAACACGTAACTGTTGCCTGCGGTATATATCCTCTTTACTTTAGCCTTGCATATGATATAACTTGTCCTAACAGAACTCTTTCCATTCAGCCGAAAGCTCTCCTAACCTGACTGAAACGATCCTTTCCTCGCGGGGTTTAATCGTGTCATATCCTTATTTCTTTTAAGTCTATCTGTGTACGACCGTACCAGATCTGCGGAGGCCTAAGATGGACACGGCTGCGCTAGCACGGTCCTGCTCGAAAAATTCTTCAATGTTCCGGTTGACGAAACAGTTCCCCTAGATTTTCGAACCAGCCAAAGGCCAACAATGTTCGTCCCCTCCACGTGTGGAATTATTTGGAAAATAGAAACTTTAAGCGATATGAGATCTCTTAAGGCAATTTCTCTTGTGTCAATAATATCCATCTGTAAAAATGTTCCAGGCTATTCACCCACAGAGTTATACGCCAACCACCGATAGGCGAGGTCATTATTGATTCATCTATGTAGCACATGCTATATCGGTAAAGACTGTTGGAATAGAACCGCGCCATCCATTCATTGGCTGGCAAACTGATCGCTGCCAAACGGCCCAGGTTCCAAGGTTTTTCTATACTGTAAACCCGGTAATGGTTTGGTACCTGACTATTTCCACAATCAGGCGTGTCGCGTCACGTCAGTTATACCCTTATACAGTTGATAAAACGAAGAATACATACCGAGGAGATAGCTAATGAAAGTCTAGCTTACTGCAAATGACATTTAGAGCCTAGGCCTACATAGGAAGCTAGCTTGGGGGTGCACGAGCTGGCCAGACGTCCAGTGTTTCGGCAGTGATGATGTTGGTGATCATGATGTTGTAGACGATCTAGTATATGTATGCCGTTAATTGCTAGCTGACTTTGTCTCGTCTATGTAAATTTCATTAAGGAATGAACGAAAAATAGAATGGGTCCCTATTATCTTGGCACGACCGAGTGACCACCTCGACCGAGTGACCACCTATGACTAAATGTCCGATGTCGTCGATAAAGATACAACGCAACACGCCGGTCGGCACATAAATAAAGGGCTGATGAAAGTCTAACGAGAAATCACTAGAGGACTTGGTTGACAACTGGTATTTATGTCCTATATTGCAAAGAAAAAATCGACACGGCAGCCGAGGATTGGGAAATGAGTCCCATTTCGAGAAGATACATATCTTCAGCCCTTCTCGCTAGTCCTCCCGCGGACATGCACGTATCACCTCGCAGCTCGCAGCGAGTACCTCAACTGGTCATCAATATATGTGAAACACCCAGCAGATTCTGTCCGTGGTCATGCATATTGTCTGACGCGATCATGAATATTTGAAACCGTACTTCTTTGAACCCCGACCTTGTTAGCTATAGATCATTTCCGGGAGATTGACTATATATGCACATATATCTTATACCCAGAATAATAGTGAATTGCTCTACTCAGATCAACTATGGAGGACAAGCCAGTTAATCTTATATAAAATCATTAACTCTGATTATGTTAGGGGAGGTGGCATGATATAAAGAGTAGCCCACCCCATATGAATAGATGATATAATGGAAATACATTAAAACTCACCGTGAAGCCCGCTCCTTTAGCTCGGCATGTAGTAGTAGACTAGACTAAAATATTGTTAAATACAACCCTTACTCACAAAGTCTCGGGTGGAAGCTTTGCTTCAAAGAAGGAATTTCGAAACATGGAACATATCAAGATGAGATCTAATGCATGCGCAGCTGTATCACATCGACAGTGTTTTAAAACCGTTCTCAATTTGAGACAGTCCGACATACTAAGTTGCATATGCTAGAGTGGCGTAACTTGGTCATCTAATCTGTGGCTGTAACTTTATTTACACCCTGACAGAATTAATTATGTTCACATACTATCACTCGTTGCTCTAAGCATCACTCGTTATTAAATCTTCACGTGATGAGGTACCCCTAAGAGGATAAGTCTATTGATTACACGAATACAGTCATATTCAGAGTGATATCCTATCCACAATTGGGAGGAAATTTGCACATATCTAAATATATTAATAAACGCCATGGCTATAGATTCAACGGATATGGTAAAAAAAAAATGAGAGTCCAGTGCATACGATAATCACCAGACCACGGGACAGACCCAGAAATATTTTTGATTAGAGTGGTTGTGGCTGTGAGCTGGTGACTTTGACCGATTCTCGCTCGTTAGATTTGGCCAATTGGGTTTTTTACGTCGTACGCACCATAGCCAACCCCGCGAAAAAAAATACATTCTCACCGCTTTGGCGCCGGTGTATATTCGGCAACTGCCTTGATTTTTTGGGGCTGGTAAACAGGATTCTGTCAGGTTGTTTTGAGAACGAGAACAGTGCGCTGATATGTGGCCATTATACGTTATCATTGTCTCCCACTAGCGCTGATCACACACACACCTACGCTCGAGTTCTGGGCTCGAATTCCATGGTTTGAGAGTTCTAGGTCCTTATCGGCTTCTACAGAATTCATAAACTACAGGATGCCATCTCTACTTCCGACTACTTGCTAGCTAGCTAGCTGATAACACATCCGGAAGGGGCACTCTCGATCTCGAACATCAGCGCTTCATATGTGCAAGACTACACAACACTTCCAGATACCTCAAACTGATCATATATCCGCTCTCGGATGAAGATCTGATGTCTCGCATTACACACGCCCCCTTACCTCCGGCCGGATCGATCAAAAGCCAAATGTACCTGTGTTAGGGATTTTCTGGAGGCAAACGTTAAATGTGATGCGGTGTGATAATACGGCTATGAAACAGATAAAGAAATACCTGGTGTTCTATCTGTGTTTCTTTTCTGCCGTTGGTTTGGTACTCGTAGATGGTTAATCATAAAAATAGCACAAATCCACATACCTGTATATTATCTACCGGTACCCGCAACCCCCACCACCATCAGCATGAATAACCGACCAACAGACTCGAATCAAGAGCTTCCAGCCCAAAGTGCAAATTCTACTAGCCGATGTGCACAAACCGATGTAGTTCGCAAAAGCCTGTTTGAGCGGGGGTTATGGGTCGCCCCCCAGCTCTTGAGTTCTGTTTGCCGCGGACGCATGTTATGTACGGGGTCGCGGTTACAGTCAGTAATTTGTCACTTGAACTACAGTTCGAGTTATATGCGTATGAGATTGTGGGGTCGCAGAGCTAGGTAGATGGTTAGAGAACTTGGTTTCTATCAGAGGGGGCCGGGGCGCTACCTAGACGAGCGTATTCGAAAAGCTTTATTTTAATAATCCCAAAATACCCTGGATGAAACGTAACGTACGGCATGCCATCTCGAGCTCAATATATTGATAATGATAAAGCTACAAGCAGCCATTCGTGAATTACGGCTTTGAATTCCAGCAGCTTCGAGGGCTGGGTAGCTGTTCATCCGTCACTTGGAGAGCTTTGATTCCTTTGATTCCACCACTAGGGCGCTATCTGGGTATTTTCCAAAAACTTGATATAACATGCCTAACTGATGAAACGTAAGCCCTACCATCACAATTGGCCATTTGTCACCTACAACTTTGAACAATGCGATACTTACCCAGATGGCCATCACCGACCTACCTGCCTACCCCACTCCATCTCAGGCCTTCCAGGGCGCTATCTCTACACCTTCGCAAAACCGACCTCTCGAGTCCCCATCCGACAATCCCAGATGATCATGAAACAGCCCACTATCGATCCCGCAACGTCTGTTTCACCCGCAGACCATTCACAAACCCGCCCTTTTTTTCTTTTCTCCCTATACCCAAGCTCAAGCTGATCGCCAGGCCGCCCCCAGGCCAGGGCCACAAACAACCTCATCCAAACAATCCACCACATGTGATCCCGCGCACGCCTTACACTTCCCGTCGATTATTATGTACCTACCTTTGGGGCTTCACCGCAATCCCTCGCTCTCCCCCTGCACTGCCCTGCCCTGCCCTCCCCCGGCTGATCATTCCATCTCATCGCGTCACTGGCCATCACTCGAAATTCCCACGCTACACTCCACGTCTTCCATACATATCGAAAGACACCTTCCATCCTTCCCCGCTTTTGCCAGTCCCAAACTCAATAATATAAGGGGGTCGATTTTCTTTTTGATAAGGGGGCACGGATAAGGTTCTTACTGGCAGCCTACTTTTATTACTATTTTATTATTTGCCTGATTTACAAGGCGGACAACCACGGTCCCATTGGGCTGTACGTGGGCGGAAAAAGGGAGGGTAGAGGGTGGGCGAGGAGGGCCAATGATTTAGTTAACCAATAGGAAGCGTGGCCAGTTACGTACTCTGGATGATTGTAGATACCTGGAATCTACTACCTACTCTTCTTACTTTGCGATATCTGCAGTACGCTAGATGGGAGTGGATCTCCTCTCCTCTTTTTTTCTTTTCGGGCGTGCGGGTTCATAGCTGGCAGACAGACAGGCAGCTAGATAGGACAGCCAGCCAGCACACATGACTAGACAAGAGCCATCAAGGGAAGACAAGACCGTTTCTGCGTGCCCGCAATGACTCACATGAAGCTAGAGCCCTAGGTTTCATCGCGGAAGTACTCGACTCCTCGAACATTGGCGCAGACGTAGTGTAGTTTAGTTAGATCTAGCAGAATTCCCCCCAGAGCTAGTACGTGCTGGCATCATCATCATCATCATCCATCTGCCTAGCTCTCCTCGATATCTTACGCCGCCAAGAGCCTCCATTTTTCTTCTTCTCATGGGATAGGACAGCTAGGATGGGATTGCATATTTGTCTGCCCACTTGCACCTACCTTATGCCATGTACGTCCCCATTGGCGCAAATGTGGCTCGCACCGAGCCAATCACGCCCACGGTGCACTCGCACACTAAAACAGTAACCACTCTAGCCACCCCCAGGGCCAGATATAGCATCGATCGCCCCATGCGCCCAAAATAGCAGGTTCCCGTGCAAAAGAGCTGAGGGTGTATGACTACTCTACCACGACCGCGGCGGCCGCCCAGATCAATAGATGGGATAGACGCGCCAGCCAGCCAGAACCCAACCCAACCCCAACCTCAGCGTGATAGGGATGGATATACATACCTAAACACTGTACCTATATATCTCAATAACTAGATAGATGATATTAATATCCCCAGTTAAATTATCAAGCGCTCTCTCGTTAATAATATCTGAAAATTTCACTCCCACCACCACCACCACCCGACGAACCAACAAAAAAGGCCACCCCGTAAATAGGCACAGAGCAGTTTTTTTTTTTCCTCTTCTCCTACTGCTGTTAACCCTGTTGAGGCATTTCCCTTTCTCGCGGGAGGCCCTTAAATGCGGTAATTGCTCTAATTTGCGTGTGAGTGCCCTTTGTCTTGGCGGATATAACAGTGTTCTATGGATTCCTAGGATTCGACACTAACCTTCCTACTTTGTGCGCCTCACTCAGTCAGTCAAATAATCGTTAAACCAGATAGATACACACCCAGATGTATGTAGCTAAGCCGAATTAAATACAAACTCACCTATCAAACATCGAACGAAAAAAAATCCCCGCAAACGCAAAACGTAGGTAGGTACGGACGGCCCAGAGTACCATAGATCTCTCGCTTCCACGCAGCCAGCAGCCAGCCAGCAGTTCATCCAAACAAATCACAACCACATCTATCTGCAAATCCCCCCCCTCCACCGTCGAAGCAAGGTACCACCAGCCAGCCCATCCATCCTGCCGAGCCCCAGGAAACAAACACAAACAGCATGCCTCTCGCAACCGAGAAACAACTCTGTCCCTCCCCCCCCCCCCCCCCCCAAACCCCCACAACCCACCCCCGGCCGCCGCGGCCCTGGA